AGTTCCTGTGTAGGAGGGCGGACGATTGACTGAAGCACGAAACAGTGTGAGGCTCTGACCATCAGGGGTTCTCTCTCTCTACCTGCTTCGTCTTGCTCTTCTTCCTGACTGTGTGTGTGTGTGTGTGTGTGTGTGTGTGTGTGTGTGTGTGTGTGTGTGTGTGTGTGTGTGTGTGTGTGTGTGTGTGTGTGTGTGTGTGTGTGTGTGTGTGTGTGTGTTCTGCATGTTGTGCAATACACCAGCCTCACTTTGGACTTCTTGGAAAACAGGGTAATGGGAGGAAAGAGGCCTGAGCTGCCTTCGCTGCAGCTGTTTTTTTTCACTACCCTGATGATGCATTCACTGCCCCGATGATGCATTCACTGCCCTGATGATGCATTCACTGCCCTGATGATGCATTCACTGCCCTGATGATGCATTTACTGCCCTGATGATGCATTCACTGCCCTGATGATGCATTCAGTACCCTGATGATGCATTCACTGCCCTGATGATGCATTCACTGCCCCGATGATGCATTCAGTGATGAACTTGCAGAGCTGTCAGGCTGCAGGCACGGCCCTGCACGGCTCTTGTTGTTGCTGCTCTGTGATAAGTTGTGGGGTCGAAGTGCGGCATGCATGTGTTTGTATACATCAGTAAACACACACACACACACACACACACACACACACACACACACACACACACACACACACACACACACACACACACACACACACACACACACACACACACACACACACACACACACACACACACACACACACACACACACACACACACACACACACACACACACACACGTCCAGGTGATTGGACAGAAGCAGTGAGCTGACAGAGTGGGACTTCTTGCTTATGGAGTTGTTTTGTAACTGCCTGAACAAGTGCCTGTTCCTGAACGCACCACCACCACTTTAACGCTCACAACTAATTCTATTAATAGAGTTCCATTTTCTACCTCACAGGCAGAAAAACCTGGAGCCAATAAAACACTCCAACTCGACTCCTGACAGCTGCAGGGTTGTCACGTCACTTCTGCGCCTAACCCACGCATGTTTGTGGCACCGCACGCGACCTGCTTTTTTTCCATTATTTACCTTGAGCAATGTGCACGAGCCATGCATTAAACTCGTGCGGAGTTTATTCTAAAAGAGTTGCAGTGTCCTTGTCTGTCTATCTCGTGACTGTTAAAGGCGCCCCTGTGCTCCACATCCCTGCCAGTGCGCCGCTAACAGCGTCAATCTGAGTGAGTACACACAGCATCGTCTTACCAGGAACTGTGCAAAGGGGAAGATCTGTAACAGGAAATGCAACTGACCCCTTTTAAAACCATGTAACTTTAAAATGCACCGGCCGTGTTGGAGCTGCAGCGGTGCATGTTGCAGGGCGTGCAGCACTGATTGCATGTCGCTAGTTTTGCACGGATCGGTGTGATATTCTTACCTCCCTTTGGCTGAGACATTTCCCCTTTGCTTTGATGAGGGGGAGGGGGAAGCACAAAAGACTTTGCCTTCTTTCTCACTCCCTCCCTCCATCGCCCTCGCAGCAGCACTGGAGCTTCAGCGGCTTTGCTTTTTTTTTTTTTTTGCAACAAAGATGCACAAATACAAGCCTCGATCTTCATGCACTTGGAGCCTTTTCGAGTCCGGAGCGCGCGCGTCCGTGCACGGGGCGCCGCTGCGAATGCACAGCCCCCCGCGTGCGTCGGGAAATCAGGTAAATTTGCAAATTTGCACTGCAAGGAATTCTCCGCAGCAGTTACATGATGGGCCAAGGCTGGCAGCTGAAAGCTCCTAACTTGGATCAGTGTGAGCCCCTGCGAGAGAACGTTCTTCCTGCTTGGCGCGCAAAGGATTCTGGGAAACGTAGTGCAGAAGTACAGCGGTCACAAATAGACTTGCATGTAAGTTGTGTTTGGTTTATTTTAACGAGCTCTTACATTCGTGCAGATGTAGAGTGTGCTGTGCAGAGGTGAAACACTTATTGTTCAAGGAACTTTTTTTTTTTTTAAAGTATCATTTGACCTAAATATTATACAAGACTATATCATTAAATGAACAACAGTAGTATGGTTTTTACCAGGATTAGTTTGTAATTTGAACATTGCATCAGATTGGATTAGGTAAAGTACTGATTACAATGAGAGTAATTTTACTTAAAGCACATTAAGGCAAACTTAATTGAGTAACAGACTACACAGTGTTATCTCAAAGTGTTTTTAGCTTCTCTTCCGTTACTTTATGGTATGGTCACATGACCAACTTTACTTCCATAATTTAGTTCAATTAAACCACAAATGAAGCCTTCAGATCAAAACGAGGAACTCTGAGCTAGGTATTGTTATGTGTAGATTTGAGGAAGTAGGTCACAGGTTTCCTTACTCATCAGGAGCTACTGACTGCACCTGTGATGTTCTCCGTCAGCTGATGTGGGAGGCTCTAAAGGGAGGTTGGGGTTCCCCTGCTCAGGTCAGTGTGTGTCTCCAGAGAGTCACCACCATGAGTTGGCGTTTTGTGTTTTTCTTTATGAATGAAATCTCAGTTTTGTGTTTGTTTTGAAAAATAAATTTCTCTTTCTGCCATTTCTGACTCCTTCCATTAAGATTCTGTTTAGTTTGGGCTCCAGTTTATTTAATTCTGATAGAAACACCGGGTGGTTAATGAGGGCTAATTGTGCATTCATGTGGTGTCGGACACATCGGAAAAATAATATTCTAAGTTGTAAAACGCAAAATTAGCCCATGTTTAAGTCGGAGCAACAACTGGAAAAGAATAGGACCCCGACTTGCCATGGAGGGCGAAATATGTTTTGTTGAAGTTAAGATACTCTTGATTAATTCTCGTTTTGCATATCAACATTTGGCTCAAATATAACTCGTAACAGAGACATTCACACATCTTCTTTGCATGCACGCTGATTTCCGTCTTTCCAAACTGAAATCTGAAGAACGATTTACCAACTCAGAAACTGGGGAACATCCGAGGAGCACCTGAATGCACCATATGTTCTTCTGCCACCTCTAAGAACCAAATTCCCACTTATTGGTACCTCCCTTTTGTAACGTGTGTGTGTGTGTGTGTGTGTGTGTGTGTGTGTGTGTGTGTGTGTGTGTGTGTGTGTGTGTGTGTGTGTGTGTGTGTGTGTGTGTGGTGTGTGTGTGTGTGTGTGTGTGTGTGTGTGTGTGTGTGTGTGTGTGTGTGTGTGTGTGTGTGTGTGTGTGTGTGTGTGTGTGTGTGTGTGTGTGTGTGAGAAAGGACACACAGTCATGACTTTTGAAAATGTATTAAAAAGCTTTATTATGAGTAACATTGATAAACAGTGAATCTAGTTAACATCAATCACATCAGAAGACTACCGACGAGACACCCCGACATCTACAGTTGTTGGGCGTATTTTTATGGTTTTGATGACGAGAACATTTAAAGAAAAAGGTTTTTAACCTGAAAATCAACAGGATGAACGTTTGGTGGCTGATCTGATTTAACGATGGAGGTAAAATGTCTTTAAGGTCACAACTGGGCACAATTTGGTTGAAAAGATTTTTATTCTATCTGAGGCTGAGAACACACATTTTAACTCTGATTTTGGGCCCTCCCCCTCCCCCATGATCAGGGGGCGTGGCCTAATTCTAGGCTTATCGGATCCCGTCATTTCTCCAAATAATGTGTGGTGTCACTATACAAATACTTTACTGGAGCCTCCCCGATCTGGAATCGTGAATACCAAACTGGTTTGACTTTTACAAATCCCGATCAGAATACCGGTAGCCAATCAGAGCGAGTGAGCGGCCGGGGAGGCGTCACTAACAGGAGGTTGCCTTTTATTACAGCTTACAAACATAAACGCAACTGAGCCCAGAGCCAAGTGGAATATTGACGAACGAGAGCAGGAGTTGTTTTTCTTCTAAGTCACGTTCAAAGTCTCGCGAGTTTCTGTGAGATCTCAGGTCAGTGAGGTCTCGGGTCAGTCAGATCTCATGTCTGTGAGATCTCGTGTGTCTGTGAGATCTCGTGTGTCTGTGAGATCTCGTGTCTGTGAGATCTCGTGTGTCTGTGAGATCTCGTGTCAGTAAGATCTCGTGTCTGTGAGATCTCGTGTCTGTGAGATCTCGTGTCTGTAAGATCTCGTGTCTGTGAGATCTCGGGTCAGTAAGATCTCGTGTCTGTGAGATCTCGTGTCAGTGAGATCTCGTGTCAGTAAGATCTCGTGTCTGTAAGATCTCGTGTCTGTGAGATCTCGTGTCTGTAAGATCTCGTGTCTGTGAGATCTCGGGTCAGTAAGATCTCGTGTCAGTGAGATCTCGTGTCTGTAAGATCTCGTGTCTGTAAGATCTCGTGTCAGTAAGATCTCGTGTCTGTGAGATCTCGTGTGTCTGTGAGATCTCGTGTCTGTGAGATCTCGTGTCAGTGAGATCTCGTGTGTCTGTGAGATCTCGTGTCTGTAAGATCTCGTGTCTGTGAGATCTCGGGTCAGTAAGATCTCGTGTCAGTGAGATCTCGTGTCTGTAAGATCTCGTGTCTGTAAGATCTCGTGTCTGTAAGATCTCGTGTCAGTAAGATCTCGTGTCTGTGAGATCTCGTGTGTCTGTGAGATCTCGTGTCTGTGAGATCTCGTGTCAGTGAGATCTCGTGTGTCTGTGAGATCTCGTGTCTGTGAGATCTCGGGTCAGTGAGATCTCGTGTCAGTGAGATCTCGTTTGTCTGTGAGATCTCGTGTCTGTGAGATCTCGGGTCAGTGAAATCTCGTGTCAATGAGTTCTCGTGTCAGTGTCACAGTCTCTCCACTGTGACATCGTTAATTCAAACGGCAGGCGGTGATGAATGACTTCTGTAACTCCTGATACTCCTGGTAAATAATGAAACGTAAGGGGGATAATGTAATAGCACCAATTTTTATACCAAACAAAGACAATGTGGCATGAAGAAAACCGCTAGAGTCTACATTTTTATTTCCTTATAATAGAAAGACCAACACCAACATCCTGTCTGTGTCTTTAAGCTCCAAGCCTCATTGGTTCCTCCTGAGGAAACACATCTTTAAAGCAGCTGAAGCATAATTTTCAAAACTAAGAAAATACTATTAAATATGTGGGACATTTAGTTTTTAGCAAACTTTACTCAAAGAGGAGGAAGTCGTGCATTTTTAAGCATCAGCTGCCGATTAATCGATATTTGAGGCGTTGTTGGTTCAGGTTCTTTCACTGGTTAAAACATAAGAACAGAATATAAAAGCACCAGTTCAGTTCTTTAAAAGACAGATTTACACTCGGAGCATGATTTAAGTTGCCCAATAAATACAACATGTACGGATGAGACAGAAACGATCCAAACATCACACTACGACTCGATGGGGGGGATCAGATCGGCGTCCTCGTGCGGAGATATTAGCAAGATGTCGCTGCAGCGGGTCGGGTTGTGTGTGGTGAGGTACCGGTGGCTCTGAGAGGGAGGGGTCGGAGGGCGGTCAGTTCTTGGTGGCGATGAGGGTTTGGTACAGCGGCTTCACTATGATGTGCAGGTAGAGGGAGCTGTCAATGAGGTACTCGGATGTCCGGCGGTAGAGGTCGGCCTCGGCCAAGAAGTCGCCGTTCTCCTCCGTGCTCTGGTGGAAGTTGTAGACGTGCCTCACCACCGTCTTCCCTTGCTGCTGAGCCATCACGAGCACCGTCTTCTGGAAGTTCACCCCGGCGAAATCCGCGCTGGACGTGGCCGGTGTGATGATGATGCGAGGGCGCCCTCCTTCCACGCGTGTCGGCTGCATGGCGCCGGTCTCCGTGTACATGGACCTCATGGTGAGGGGGAGCCAGCGCGGCGAGAACAAGGCATTCCAGGTCACCCTCTTGCTGGAGTCGTGCCCGCTCGGTCCCAGCTGCGTCTGGAAGCTGGTGCTGCGGTCGTCTCGCGTCGGGTTGTTGATGACCCAGGGCGACCCCCACACCGGCGACAGGTAGTTCCTGGGCATGAAGAGGCTGCAGTTCACGTCAAAGAACTTGGCCATGCTGAGCGGCGACGCCGAGTGAAACTGGTAGGACATGTACAGCAGGTCGCGCACCGACTCCTGATAGCGCGCAAGAACTGAGGACTGCGTCTGCAGACGGAAGAGCTCCCTTGGCGGCATCATGGCATAGCGCACAGCCCTCAAAGCGTTCTCGGCGGTCAGACCGTCGGGCTCGTTCTTGATAATCCACGCCTCGAGCGCCGCGAACAGCTCCATCTCGCTCTGCAGGATGAGGTCGGAGCGCTGCAGCAGGGACATGAGAAGCTGGCTGCTGACGGTCAACCACTCGCCACTCTGCAGCACCAATGACAGGTTCCACGCCATGTACTGCAGGCAGCTGTCCCTCAGGGTCAGGTCCCCGGCCTGCAGGGCGTACTCGTACCAGCCCGCCACGTGGCCTGAGGGCGAGTCCCGGGCCAGGTTCTGGGTCATGTACTGGGTGATGCCCTGCTGGAGACCCGTCACCTGGTACTTAGTGGACAGCTTGTGTAAAGCTGTGGCCTGGTCCAGACGTAGAGAAAGTTCTCCACAGTACAGATACCTGCTCAGACAGACAGAGAGGAACTTCAGTTTAAACATACAAATCAAAAGTGTGATCAGATGTTTTACTCAACTGTAGAGCGAGAATCTAAGGACTACAGTAAATTACCGTAAATAATGCCAATAACAGTTGGTTTATTAGAGCAATAACAACTTTTTCTTGCTAAAAGAGTGTTAATTTTTCTTTAGTGAAGTTTGCCTAAACCAAGCGGCAACCTATGTGTTAAAAAATGAAGTCAATGCCAAAGTGCAAAAACCTGCAGTTCCTCGAGTGTCCACTTGAGGCTGGCTGCAAAAGCCTTGGAGGTCGCATACACACCCATGTTAAAATGTTCATTTTGACAGCTGTTCACGGCCTTGTAAATTCAGAGCTTGATCCCAAGGAAACTTTGAAGGTTGAAGATGTTGAAGAGGTTTCACCACTCCTCCAAAAGGCTTCTTCAGTCTAGTTGCCTTTGGATCAAGCTTCCAATTTACCATGACCTGGATGCCTGAGAACCTACACAGATATATCACAGCATGGTTCAAAAAAACTGATCGCATGACTGATTTGACTGACAGGCGGGTACGTAGCTGTTAGCTAGGAGGCTAAAGGTAACAGATATCAGCTTTATCTCTTTGTTTTGGTTTACCAAAAGTCAGTTTGAAACAGCATTTTCAAAATGGCGATGGGCATCATTGGGCTTCACTTCAGAAATCAATGAGTGATGTCACTGAGACTACGTCCATGTTGTTTACAATCTATGGATTAAACCTAGAAGTAAAGGTGCTGTACAACCAAAAGAATGAGCCAAAATGGGCTCAAAAACAGACAAAGCCCAGGTGTTAGTTTGCTGTAATTTTGACACAAACCCTTGCAAATCACACACAATTATTCGATTTATTATTCATATAAAAAATATTGTTTCATGCAGTTTTTACGTGTTCCTGTTCCTCTCAGGATGTCTCATGTGTACAGGTACAAAACATTAACACGTTACAATATTAAGAAGGAGGTTTTCTCAGTGTGGCAGAAAGGCAGCTGAGCTCTGCTTCAGCTTTATATCATCATCATTAGCATTTGGGATAAAAATAGATTTTTTTTTTTATTGATTGCTGTTGGATCGCCGGCTCCACATTGTCTTACTGACTGCTGCTCCACAGGAGCTGCTATCGAGCCGCCCAGCAGTTCCCTGATTGATCCATCTGTTTTATACTGAAGTCATCACTGATTGATTGTGTCAGATGTAGGGCTGCAGTAGAGGAGTTCATCCCTCTAGAGGGCGTCATAACTCGATCTGGGTGAAGCAGCGGTTTGGGTGAGACTCTGCGGGGCTTTTTGAGTCGGTCCCGGTCTCACCTGATGAACTTGTCGAACACAACAGCGCAGTCGGAGCTCTCCTTCAGGACCAGCGTGCTGCTGTTGCGGTTCAGCAGGATCTCCTCGAACACGGGGCTCTGCAGGGTGAGCACCAGCGAGTGCACCTGGATCACCTTCACCTCGTCCGCGTTGGGCGTCTCCACCCTGAGCGACACATCACTCCCGTTCCCCTGAACCAGCAGCGCCTCCAGACGCTGCACCACGGTCAGGGAGTGGCTGATGGTGTCCACGCTGCCGCCTCCTCCACCCTGTGCCCCGTCAGCTTTCCCTGAGTAGGAAAGAAGAGGATCAGATTCATTATAAAGGCAAACACATGACTTCAGAGTACAGAGGTTGCACGTGATTAATTTATTAGGCCACATAGTGGGACAGTATCATCCAGATCCATGCCATTGATTAGTCCAGCTGCACGCTCCGTCTGGATGATGAGGGATTGTGGGTCACGTTTAATTAAAGCTTTGTCTCAGCTGAGGCTGTTGTAGCACACCACCGCCCCTCCTCCACCTCCCGTTCCTCTGCAGACCACACTTTAACTAACATTGTCGACATCCGAGCCCTGATTCATAGAAGCAAAATGCGCTTCCTCTTTCGGAGTCATTTTTAATATTTAACACTTCCTTTTCCCCCTCGTAAAAAAAAAAAACAGAACAGGACGCAAACTCTTCCCTTTGAATCACAAGCCGGAGTGAAGGCAAATGTTTTTGTCTGTGGTCGTATAAATCAGTCAGCGATAGAATAAAGTTGAAAAAAAACGTTGTGATATTTTAGAGGACAAAGTTTTGTGGATTTTGCAAACCTTCATGTTTGTACATTTTTGTAGTTTTTTAGCTCTAGAGTGTCAAAAAAAGACACAAAAGCTTAAAAAAGTGGACTTTTCCTACCATGGAGCAGTCTTTTTTCACTCAAACATAAACCTGCATGTTTTACCGTCACATTCATTTAGCCTTGTAGATTCTGAAATGTACAAAAAAAAAATCAAAAATATGAAATATTCTATTCTTGCAAAATTTAAATTAGGAATACCATCAAACTTCAACGACAAGTCCAGGCTTTTATTAACTTCAGTGAAAAGACATTTAACATCCTTTTTAAACCAATCAGAGCAGCTCGTCTCTTTTTGTAACTCGTCCCAAATAAAAGGAGCAGAAAACTGAAACACCTCTTTCCCCAAGTTCAGTTCTGACAAGTTAGAAAAGGTCCTGGGATCAAAGATTATACCATCCTGTACTCGTCTGACTGATGATGCTGAACTACAATTAATTTACATGATGAGAAATTCCTCTGCAATTTCTATTTTGAGTTTAAAGCCAAATTAAACTTTCATTTACAACAGCGCCTCAGGCCTACACACACACACACACACACACACACACAAAAACACATTAGTGCAATTTTTGGACTTTGAAATAAATATGAACTTGTCTGAAAATATCAACTGTCCTGTGTAACGACCTGTGAGCTGAAGTTCCTCTGAACGGTAACTCACCTGCAGCCGCCGCTTGCAGACTCGCACACAGAGCCACAAACATCATCCCGACGCGGATCTGAACCACTCGTTCCATCTTCTTTTTTCCTCTTCCTGCGTTCTGTCCGTCCTGCCGTGGAAGACGAGTGAGGGGTTTCTGCTGTCTGAATGTGGGACAGGGGGTCCTCCTCGACCACACACACACATACTCATCGATTAGTGGGTGGAAACAGGCCTGGGTTTGTTTCCATGACTACGGTGACTTTGATTCTGACTTTCATGTCCTTGGTTGTGCATGACATTGATTGGGTGAGGAGGCCGCGGGGACTCTCAGACAGCTGTGGGACTGGGACACTGGGAGGGGTGAGGAACAGCTGGGAGGATCATGTGGGAGGTATTTGAAGGTGAGAACTTATAAATGTAAACGATTAAATGTAGCTAGCTTCTTTATAGCGCTTTGCTTGTCTTCTGGTCACTCAATCGGCTCCACACCACATGTCAGCATTTCCTCTTTCACACACATTCATACTCTGATTTATCACCCTGCAAGGCAATCGGTCCATACACTTCAGGATTTGTCTCTTTGGAGTTTTTCGCTTGGCCCAAAACGCTGAATTTTTCATTTGAGGGCAACCCTGAGCCGCAGCCCGGATTTAATCTGTATAATGAAAGTTAAAATCTGGGGCGCTGGTGGCACAGTGGTTAGTGCACGTGCCCCATGTATGGAGGCTATAGTCTTCCAAGCAGGCGGCCCAGGTTCGAATCCCGCCTGTGGCTCCTTACCCGCATGTCATTCCCCCCTCTCCCTCCCTCCCTGATTTCCAGCTCTGTCCACTGTCCTATTTCTCCATAAGAGGCACAAAAAGCCCAAAAACAAATCTTTAAAAAAAAAAAAGACAAGTTGAAATCTCAGGATTTTATCTGACCACGGCAGGCGGGGACAGCTCGCTCTTAAGTCTGTAAAGGGGTGGCTGTGGCTCAGTGTGTAGAGTTGGTCGTCCATCAACTGTAGCCGCAGCCAAATGTCGATGTGTTGATGGACAAGACACTTGACCACAAGTTACTTCTGCTGCTTTGCCGGGGGCGTATGAATGATGGACTCTTTACTCAGCAGCCTCTACCATCAGTGTGTGAATGTGTAGGTGTGACCTGTGGTGTAAAAGCGCTTTGAGTAATCAGAAGACTAGAAAAGAAATATACAAACTCAAGTCCCAATCGAGACCTGGGCCACCCGCTTGGAGAACTACACCCTCCATACATGGGGTGATCGAACTAACCACAAGGCTTCCCGTGCTCCATACAATTTATTTTTGCAACCATTGAAGGCGCCCCCTGCTGGCAGTTAGAGGAGAGACAGGCCATTGGGTTTTTTTTGCACATCTTCTATAAACCCGTTGCACCCTGCACAGATTTAAAGCTTGTGGTTTCTGTGCGGGCGCTCTGCTGCAGTTCGGACAGTTGATCCTCCTCGTGCAGCTATGTGTGTCAGTGTGTTCACCCACTTTACCATCGTGTGTGCGTGACACAGCAACACAAGCAATTTATTCACAGCCTCGGGCTCCAGCACGCTTCATTAGAGGAGAGCAAGTTGTGTTATCAACATTTCACATGATTTGAAACAAAACCACTTTTCTCTCACAAATCAGGATCCATCAGAGTTAAAAACAAAATACACTATAAGTCATCTATGTGTTCGGTATGTATTTATCTACAATGTTGATTATTGGTGTCAGGCCTGTGTGTGTGTGTGTGTGTGTGTGTGTGTGTGTGTGTGTGTGTGTGTGTGTGTGTGAATCACATGTGTGAGTCGATGGTGATCCCACAGGATGAGTTCATCCCTCCCAGTCTGACTCTGACAGACGAGCTCTGTTTGTCTCGATGTTAGACATCAGGTCGCTCATCTGTTCAGTTTGCAACACGTTAAATGTTTACATTTCTGTCGATATATTTCAACGTCTTACTATTCTGTATTTTTAAAGGTTTATTTATGTGCTTTTTATGGCCTTTTATGTAGAGATAGGACAGTGGATAGAGTCAGAAACCGGGGACAGAGACGTGCAGGAAAGGAGCAGCCGGTCGGATTCAAACCCAGGCTGCCCGCATGGATGACCTAAGCCTCTGTACATATGATGCCCACACTAACCACTAGGCTACCTGCGCCCCTATGTCTCTCTTTTTTATTTCTGTCCTCAAGCTGCTGCAAAAACTCTTCATCTCTGGTGATTTATTAGTGCGTCCCTATAAAACTATTCATATTTTCTAAACTTTCTTTATATCTGAAAACAGACGATAAAAACAAAACTATCTGCCGGTCACTAATGAGTTTGTCAGAGAATATTGTAATTTGTGTGCTCATTAATATTTATCCATGTCTGCTTTGGAGAAAGTGTTTGCCATCTGAAGATTTTGCATCCACAGCACAAGACTCTAATCTCATCGAGGAGAAAGAAGCTGCAAGTGTGGCCTGTGTGTGTCTATTTGAAACTATAGTTAAATTGAAAACCTGACACATCTGTAATCCATGTTAGCTGCCGATCCAACACCATGCACAAAACACATCAGAATACATTTTTTCACAGGAATATTTTCTGTTCTGTGCAAGAGATTGGGTGATCTCTGTACAACATTTTGAAGCATTACTGAATGTTTATGTGAAAATGTAAGTCAAATGTGATTATATAATGTTCTGTTCATTGCATTGGAAAGTTGTGTTTATTCTGTATTCAGCTCATTAAGTTAGGAATCAATATTAGCATTTGAGTTCCATCCATCAACCATCTATACCGCTTTTTCAGTCGTGGGAGGGCTGGAACCAATCCCAGCTGTCGAGAGGCGGGGTTACACCCTGGACTGTTCATCTGTCAATCACAGGGCTGAAATATAGAGATGGACAACCAGCCACACTCACATTCAGAGAGTCAGCAGTTAACCTAACGAGCATGTCTTTGGACTGTGGGAGGAAGCCGGAGAGAACCCACACATGCACGGGGAGAACATGCAGACTCCACACGGAGAGACTCCTGACAGACGGGGATTCAAACCAGGAACCTCCTCATTGTGTGGCTAACCACTGCACCACCGTGCATCCCAGCATTTGTGTTTAAAATGTAAATGTTGATGAAATAAATAGTACACTCAGTTTACTGCACATTGCACATACTGCACAAGTTCACTTTTTCTTTAAATTTTATTGTATTTTATTTACTACCTTTTGCACAATTTAGAATTTATTACTGTAAATATTATTTATCTTATTTTTACCTCATTTTATTTATCTATTTTTACCTTATCTTATTTTACCTTATTCTGGTTGTATTGCACCACGGGACGGAGACAAACGAAATTTCGATTCCACTGTATGTCTGGCATATTTTGAAATTGACAATAAAGTTGACTTTGACTTTGACTTAGTGATTAAAACGATTGGTTCCTTACAATCCAGCCCTCTTGCAGTGAGAGCAGGATTAAAGTGTCCCTCTTGTTAACTGAAGTTGCCCGTCCCCTGCTGAATGAGATGCTGCAGGTTGTGTTTACATCTTTTGTCCACTAGAGGGCGGAGCAGCTGCATCTCACCTGCACTCACGCTTCACAGAAACAAGCCTGTGAGAGATAATGTGAGTTTTTCTGCTTCTTCAAAAACACATCTTGTTTAGTTACAAGGGAATTTGACATAAATAAAAGAATCAGAATCAGAATTGATTTGTAGTTGCTAAGTTCATTAACTCATACGAGGAATTTGAGTTGGTGTTTTGGTGCAAAACAATTAACACAGGACTAAAGATCAAATAGTTAGAAGGTATAAAAAAAAACCATCAGTGGTCCTGCTGACAAAGCAAATAGAATAAGATAAACATTTAACAGGAAATTAAAAAATATATTCTAGAATATAAAACTATTAAAAAAAAACACAAAATGTGCAGTGGAGGAGCTGTGCAGTTGTGCATGATTTAAAGTGAAAAATATTTCCAGTATGTATCTCCTCATAGAGTGCCATATTAACAGTCCAGTGAGTGTTAATGTAAAGTATAAAAACAGTTCCAGCCTTCACATTACAGCCTGTGCTCTGGCTGTGGGGCTGGATGAGAGTCTGTGTTGTGTCGGGGGAGGGGGAGGGGAGGAGGGCATTGTTGATGAGGCTGGCAGCAGAGGGGAAGAAACTGTTCTTGTGGCGTGAGGTTTTGGTGTTCATAGACCGCAGCCTCTTATCAGAGAGGAGGGTCTCGAACAGTGTCCAGGGTTAAAGGGGTCGGCCACAATTTTAGAAACAAGACCGAGACCAAACCAGGGCGAGATCGAGACAGAGACAAGACCAAGACCAAGACTACTGTATATCACTGGTATCAACTGGTGGGAGGAGTTTGAAAATATTTTAACTGCCAAAGGGGGGCACATCAGAAAAGGTCTTGGAACCACTGTCTTACATAGAATTCTGTACAGCTGTGTGTTTTGGGCTGCAGCCTTCTTTCTCAGTTTTAACGCTCACTGATGTTGTGAATCAGTTTCAGAGTTTAAATAACTGACGCTCTGTCATCACTGAGTACTGAGCGTCAGGAGAGCTGACCAGTAAAGGCGTATGGAGCCATTTGTGCGTGCTGCTTTAAAAAAAAGTAAGTTAGATGAAGGTCTTAATTCAGTGACTAATGCAGAATCTGAGCCGGATAAGAGTCACTGCTTTGGTATGATCTGAACAAATAACACAGAAATAAGATCCTGGTCAGCGAGATAATATTGTTATTCCTGTCACTGTGTTTGCACACTGCACATTGCATTTTAGCCAAATCAGTGCTAACTAGTAGAAAACAGCCGCGCTCTTTCAGATCCTGCTCCTTGCGTTTCCCCGTCTTGTGCTCCCCCCGCCCTGACTGTGCTCACCTGTGTTGTTATCCCCTGATTGTCTGTGTATTTAATCCTTGTTTGTCCTCCCTCATGTTTACGGTTTGTTGTGTGGTACCTCATGTCAGCACTCCTTATCTTGTTACTTTTTTAGTGGTTGACTATTTGACTTCAGCCTTTTGCCCGCCCCCTTTCTGGCTTTGTTTGCTACTCTGATTTGATCACCTGTATACCAACCTGGACTGTATGAATAAACTCTCCCTGGTATCACATCCTGCGCTGTGTGAGCGTGCCTTTTTTTGGGGTCCACATATCCATCGAGTTCTGTCAGCTTTATTGCAACTCGAAACCTGTTTTAAGATGACATTCAACACAAAGCTACCCTTACAATGCCCCCCGTGTGCAGCACTCTGACATCTCTCCATTAGTCCATGTCTGTAGGGCCGGTTTGTGCATCTGTCTATTTCAGCAGATCCTTCAATAACGGAGTGTAAACCTGAATTTCCCCTCAGGGACTAATAATGTATGTCTGAAAAATTTAATAAAATCTGTTTAAAATTTTGTTTAGCCTCAATGAACACAAATGTATCATTCACATGTGTGCAGTTTGTTTGTTTAAATCAAAAGCATCAGATTAAACTAAGAATCGGAGATGTTGAGCCCGTCACAGAGAGAGCATGAAGTCATGACGAGCGTGTGTCGGGGCTCAGATGAGACGTCAGTGTTTGTCTGGAGAGCCGCTCGTGTTTCAGCCGTTGGGACTCTTATTGCCTCTGAGTGGCGCAGAGTGACAGACTGGGAGGGCTGAGGTTATGGCACGAGTCCAGACTGAGGTGACCTACAAGGAGGAGTGGGCCTGCAGCATCCATTTATTTCACTGCAGCAGATCCATTAGCTCTTCCTGGCTCTCTCTTTTTGGCTGCAGAGGACGATGTGTTTATTCAGTGAAGTTAAAGACATAGATGAAAAGAGGCAGATAGAAACAGACTATAAATCTGAGTTGCCAATAGAGTCTGGAGGCGTGAAATTAGCTCCATGAGTTATTAATCATCCAAGGAAATGATCAATATTTACTGGAATATACCCTGCTGGTGTAAATCTACAGTTATGTTATATAAGGCATGACATGAATATATAAAAATATGCATAGAATGCAAACGAACACTTGATATTTGATCATTCTGATTAGTAAATTAGTATGTGTTTTGCATGATCTCTATGTACTTATTTTATTCTCCTGTTACTGCAGGACAGAGTCCAAGATGTATTTCCGTTTGGGGACAATAAAGTATATCTTATCTTATCTGAAGCAGTGATGGGGAAGCTAACAGGGCTAACAGGGCTAATGCTAAATCAGATTTGCTCATCACTTTGCAGCACAAGTTATCTCGTTCTACTTGTGAATTTTATTTGTGTTTGTATGTTTTCTACTTAAAATGTTTCTTTTTTTGTTCCTTACAGAAGTCCTGTATGTTTTTATTTTGTTATCTCGGGATAACTACGCAGGCTATCTCGTGAAAATGGGTTAAGACGTTTTCTGAAGGTATTGACTCGTTATCACGGGAATCATTGTTATCCTGAGATAACGAGAAAGCGACTGATATTCACTCGTTATCATGGGAAAACAAAATAAAATATTTGGAATTGTGTTCCACTTGGTGATTCCAGAATTTCTCGCCTTGTGACTTTGGGTTTAATTTAGCATTCTAGCTAACTTTGGCATGAGTATATCAACTCAAAACTGATGTTAATTTTCCAAATAATCTGATAAATGTATTTATTTATTTTAATTTTACATACTTCACTAATCCCAGAGGGGAAATTCACACTCTGTTATTAAGAAACATGCTTCTTACACACATGCACAAACAGGACCTGTGGACATGCAGAGTGCTACACAGGGAGCCAGAGCTGCTGGGGGTTTAATGCCTTGCTCAAGTGACAGCACCCTGGAAGTGACCTGGCACCTCTCCAGCAACCAGACCAACTTTCATACCGTTCTCTGCACTGGAATTTGAACCAGCAAATTCCCGGGTCCAAACGCAAATCCCTACAGACTGAGCTACTGCCGCCAAAATAAATAGAACAAGTCAATATCCTCGCCAGGTTTGAAAGAGTTTGAATGAGACGTTTTTGCTTATGTAATGTTTGTTTGTTTGTTTGTTCAGGGTCAAGTATGAAGCATGGAAACCAATGCCAATTAAAACTGCACTTTTGGCCTAAGATGAATGGCAGTGCTTGTTTGCAAGAATTAACTTTGTTTTGCGAAGCAGGGCTTCTGTTTTTAAAGATTAAAGAGCCTTAATAACTGGATTGTAAGGAAAGGTTGTCATTTTACTGACTCTGTGACATGTTTGTTTGTTTCTGAACTGTCCATAAAAGGAAGATCTTATCTTAATTGGCCATGGTGGTGAATATCAACCTCTGCATCAGATTTATAAAACATTAAGCTTAACTCATCCTTCTTGTTTTCTCTCTGCATCTTCTAACAGGTCTGATCCATAGCAAGTCATGTCTTCATGATCACGAGCTGCCTATTATTTGCTTGTTTGACCCCCGCAGCACATAAAATGACGCACAGCTGCAGGGTGAGGGAAGCCAATTTGGGTCACAGCGTGCTCACGTAGACTGCAGGATTGCAAATGACCGACTGAACTGATGGATGAATGCGTTTTTCAAATCAGCTCCTTTCATGCACTGTTTGCCTTGGAGCTTTGCTTTCGTCAACAATTTGCAGGCGTGAGACAACCTTTCTCCGAATGTTTAGTGAAATTAAAGACGCATTTGTTTTGTCGAAAGCTGATTTCATTGGTTTCCTGTCTTGTTATTGTGTTAGGATTCAAGTGCTGTAAAGAATACAAATTAGAAATTAGAAAGCGGCCTCTGCTTGGTGTCATTATTTTATGGTGCCCCCATGTTGTCTATGTTTGTGTGTGTGTGTGTGTGTGTGTGTGTGTGTGTGTGTGTGTGTGTGTGTGTGTGTGTGTGTGTGTGTGTGTGCGTGCGTGTGCGCGTGCGTGCATGTGTGTTCATGTATTAATGACGTTCTAGGGACACATGTGAACATACACTCACTACGGGGACCTAGCCTTCAGGTGGGGAAAAAGTTGTTCCTTGCAAAGTGAGCTATTTTTTTTAAGGCTATAAACTATTTTGATGGATACTTTAATAATCATTTGCAGGAAATGACTCTGTTACAGCAGATGCAATCACAGTCAAGCAATTACGGGATCTGTATTTCTTTATGACTAATGAGCCAGAGGCAGGGGTTGAAAATTAGCCACGGCTAGAAACCTGTATGCAGGGACTCTACTGTGTATTTAATCTATGAAGCAACGTTCACTGCATGTGCCCCTGTTTAAAAAAAACAAAATAAAATACATAAAAAACTCCGGAAAAAGAAAATTTAGGCGTCTAAAACAACACATCAAAAAATGCTAAGATCAGTTTTAAGACAGGCTGAAATTACACATTATAAATAAATGATATCTAAGAAATGTGATGAACATATTCAGTGTGGAAAAAAAAGAAAAGTTGCAGGTCACTGTTCCTGACGCGACAAAAGTAATGTATTTGTTTTGAACCCTCTGAGACCTCAATGAAGCTGATTCATATGGAAGCATAAATCAACTAATTGCTGATGTAGACAGCTTCAGTTATATCTCTAAAAAAACAACCGAGGAAATGGTGAACCCTGAGTCCATATTTAATGTCCTCACAGTCTACAGTTTGTGCTTTAAACTTGTAATGTAGGAGTCATAATATTTGGGTTTTGCAAAGATAGTAAGCATACTTACTACCATGTTGAAAGAAGAAGAAGTGAAACAATATGGGACGTGGAATGCCCCTGCCTTCTTGAATACACAAAAAACTAGCTAAAACTTTGATAAAAAAAGCTCTTATCACAATGTCTACTCGCTTGGTTTATCCAGAGCTGTCAAACACATGGACCTCGTCGGTGTATACAGTTAGCCGCTATTTCCAAGGTCAACAGTGAAGCTTCAAGCGCTGGTTCTTTTTGTGTTCCATAACCTTTTATTAACCGTCTCACCACAGTTTATCCACATTTCTTACAGCCTTGAGAAGTAAAATAATTTTCTATGTGAATTGCATTTTTTATCAATATTCTATCATTAAGGAATTATTGTTTTGATACGTCGAAAACTGGGACAATGAGGGTTATACAGATATGAAACTCCAAGCAAGACATCAGATAATCCTGTGTAACTGGAAATTCACATTCATATGAAAAAACACTTCACACACTTACATTTAATGATGCATGCATTTTCAAAAAGAGAGACACACACCCACCCACAACCAAAGTAGGGTTGTAAATCTCTCTTTTACAGGACAATTTGCACCGATGCGATTCTCTACAATCCAATACAAATTGAATCCAAAATAGTTTTTAACTTCATCAAACCACATTAGCTCGTCAGTAAACACCTTCCTCAGGTCTGTTTCACCCATTTGTCTGAACTACGCTCAACTCGTAGTTCATTTCGTCAGGTGTGGGGGGGATGTGGCTGGCAGAGGGAATCATGCCCGCCTCGACGTCCTCTTTTGTTATTGTTTGGATTAGGCTAGCAGTCAGTTACTGATTCAGATCGGTTTATCTCAACACCTCTACCCCAAAGACTTCAAATATCCATCTTTTGCTCCATTCTGCTTTTAAAAACCTTTCAGTGCAAAATCTCAGGGGGGAAAAAACATCAACTTTGTCTCTTTTTTATCCAGCCATGATCTTTTAAAGTCACATAAAACTGCTGTTATATAATCACCTGTCACTGAAATGCAATTGAACACATGCAGTTGAAAGGGCTACACTATAATTATAAGTACTAAGTACGTATGCATATAGTAAGTACGTAGGGTGGAATTTGGACACCACATTGGTCTGCATACTATGCGTATTTGTTTTGTCTCTTTTCCAGGGTGAATATGAAATTGGAACACAGCTGGAGGAACGTTAACACTTATTATTCCCTGTTACATTTAATGTTTTTTTCCATCAGTTTTTTCTAAATCTTTGCACATTTTCTCTCTCGTTTGATCTGCTTCCTCCCTCGCTCACCTCTGTCCATCCACAGATCAATCCCTCCCTCTCCCTCTCCCTCTCCCTCTCCCTCTCCCTCTCCCTCTCCCTCCCCCTCCCTCCCTCTTTCTCTCTTCATTTTCACTCCCCTCTACCTCATCTCTCCCCTCTCCCTCTGCTCACTGGCTGCAGTGATGTACCAGCTGCCCGGACTCCACTCCTCCTCGTCCTCCTCCTCGTCTCTGTCCACCTCCACAGCTCCTCAGCGAGTGTCCAGCAGAGATGTCGGGGACTCTGTAGGACTCGGTGGAGGAACCACAGAGCAGAGGACTGGCTGTTATGCTGGTGGAGAGTCGCTGTGAGAACTAGATGTGAAGGTAAGATTGAATGCAGACCATACAAAGGCAAACAAAGCCTAAGAAAACTCTCCTTTACTGTTTATTCAAGAGTGTCTGATTGGCTCTGTTTTAAAACGATGAAATGTTTGTGTTTCTTGTGCAATCAGCTCGGTTATACATCATTGATTTCAGATGTCGGTGCAAGGTACAGTCTTGTTTGAAAAAGTTATTTAAAGAAGCAGAAAGTATGTCTGGGTTGTCTCACTTCCAATCGCTTTCATAATTGACTTTGTCTCAACCTCAGCTTTCACATTAACTCAATTTACTTGAAGTGTTTTCCTTGATATTTCACTTCCGAAAACTGATATTTGTCATCATAACAAGCTGTAATTTCTGGAGCAAAATGTTCTTCTGGAGTCTGTCCTCCTAACAGCACTGACCCATGGGTTAGGAATTTAACCTCTCCATGATTTAACTTTAAACAAAGCTCAAGATCTGCACCATATTTGAAGCAAGGTCCTAGTTTTTGACTGTGTGCATTACATTTTCCATCTGGACAAAATGATTCAATTAAAGATATGTCCAAAAATTTGCCCTACAGCTCCCAAAACCAAACATAAAGACGCTTTCTCTTCACTTGCTGTCATGTGAAAAAGTCATATATTAGCTGTACAGTAATGCCGGCAGCATCCTTTATCCCCCAGCGCTGTTGTTTCAGGTGCAGCGTCTCTTGATGAATAATTAAGAGGACGCAGTGGAGCAGAGATAAAGTTCAGCTTCCTGGGCACTGAACCCCCCCCCTGCAGAGCCTTGTCCTATAGCCTCCAGCTGCAATGCAAACCCTGGGAACATCATCCAAAATAGTCTCTTAATCAGAAACATGCCTCTGCCTCTGATCTCCATAAACTCAGATGTCCTGGTCAAAAGAACAGCTTTTAGCCTGGAGATTCTTCAGAGGATACTGTGTGCTGACACTCGACTGGAGCAGCGTAATTAGTCTATTCAGTTGTCAAGCCAATACATCTGATTTCCCCTGTGTAGGAAGACTCTTGCTGTCTGACCTCATAAAACACCTCTGAAGTGAGAACTGTTCATTCCCACTCAGAATCTGCAGCACACTCGGGACTCAAAGGTGTCGATTAGTCTGCACAGGAAACTTCCAAGAGAATAAAGTGCGACGAGGAGCAGGTAGACGAGAAACAGAGCTCTCAAACATTCAAGATTTTTATTTGCCACTTTTACGACCAAAGAGAACAGAAAGAACCTCCTCCTTTATTACGATCATCTTTCTCTTTCACCGCCGGTCCTGAGGTGAGGCTTGTGCACAGACAGATCAGGTGTCTGACAGAGGCATAATATCACCTGTGCATGTCTGCAGCTGTCAATTTTATTCCCTGGCTTTTGGGATGTGCATTCCCTGTCCTGTCAGTCTGAATACCCCCCCTCCTGTCTGACAGGGATCGCCTCCCGCTGTGAGGTTCATATGTGAACAGGAAGGTCAGGAGAATATCCGAAGCAGTCCTCCTGAAATGATCGAGATATTCTCAGGAGTGCAGATGTGAAAACGGCTACAGAGAGAATGACTTTCTGTGGCCTCTGAGTTCAAACACGGTGTGAATGAGTGTCTATATATGTCTGCACTACAACTGCCATGCAAGTATAAATAGTGTAGAGGACATCCGATCTCACCACACGAGATGATGTTACACAACGAGTTAAATATGAGGAGGTTTTATTGACAGACGCCACAACAAAGAGTTCAACGGTGAAACAACAACAAGCTTTATGAACGACGTTCTGCAAACTCGGAGCTCATATTTCTCCCAAAGTGTCGTTGAATTTATGAGCAGGATTCTGAAAGTGTGTGATAAAACGCTGGGAGCATTGAGTGTTAGTATGACTTGTTATCAGGACACGTATCACGGCTCAGCAGAGCAGTGAGAATACATCAGCGCTGAGGATTATTTCACAGACAGGACCGATATGATGAGAGTGATGTTCTGTCCTGACCTCATGTTACTCTAAATGTTAATGCCAACACACAGCATGAAGACATTTGTCAGACTTCAACACCTACACGCTCTGTTTATCACACTGATTATTTTGTTTTCAGGCCTTTTTTGAACTTTGGACAGTGTGTTTATTTGGCAGCCACTTCACTACAAAGACAGCTCAAGATACTTTCTGTAGTTTTATTCTTATTCTACTTGTTTGCATTAAATCTTTCAGAAAGCTGTGGACACTCTCCATGCACAATCTTGCATATGTCAAATGAATTTGAATCGCTTGGTGTCACTAACTAACTCTTGTTACATCACATTTGTGCTAGCGAGGAAAGTAGTGTTTGTTTAGTAGTCCAAATGGTCATACGATTACAAAGGTTAAATAGACATTTCAGTGCATTAGTTCACATAAAAGTACAAACAGTTCATAAGCAGGGTTCAGGCTCTGCGACTTTTAATCACATGAATGTTTTAAGCGGATCAAAATTTCAAATCGTCATGAAATTCTGGATTTTCACATTTTTTTTGCACACTTCAGGGATGTCTTGTCTTTTGTTTTATAGATTCATTTTGGACCTTTATTGTTGAGATAGGACAGTTGATAGAGTTGGAAATCAGAGAGAGAGAGAGAGAGAAAGGAGCCACAGGTCAGAATTGAACCCACTCTGTCCTTTTAGGACTACAGCCCTTTGTACATGGGGCGCGCTCCCTTGCCCCGTCTGCCACCAGCGCCCAATTCTCTGACAAATAAGTAAAAATATCCCTCTTCAGTCTTTTTTTCTCTAACCAGGATGCTTTAATGAGAGCTATGATGGGTATCTGGAGATGTTTGCTTTTCATGAATTTCTTCCTGAGAGCCCTGCAGCAATTTGGGGCTGGTCGTTGAAACGAGAGTGGCACAACTCACTCTGTAAGAAAATCATCCAGTCATCAAAACAGTTTCATTTTAGGGTTAAATTGTTGCTTAATGCTGCTTTGAATTGCACATTAAAATGTTAGTTTAAACATCTACTGTATAATTTTACGACAGGTGGATGACCATCTAGATAATAGTTCAATGCTTCAGCTTTTAAATGAACCATGTGGTTGGATCATTTGTCAACTATTTTGTTTCCTCTCATCTGAGACAAGTTTTAAAAAAAACACATCAACTGTTCAGATTTTTTAACAAATAAACAGAAAACCAGACATTTCAAACCTTTTGCCAGAACATGCAAAGACCTTCATTCGGCTTTGAGTGGTGACGTCACACAAGGAGACCATTTTAGATTGGTTGTGGGTGAGATGTGGTCGACTCGGATGACTGAATCCCCCCTCCTCCCACCAACTGTAAAACCACACAAACCCAATGCATCATCTCGATCTCACATAACTTCCCCGTTATTCACAAAATATGAAGGACAGCTTTCAGGCCGCTGTCCGCCCAGAAGCTGAAAATTCTCCTTTGAAGGAAAATTAAATCCCCCTGTTGTTTTAGGAAAAGGCATGAGGCAGTTCCCATACTGAATCACTCCATGGATCATGTTGATTGCTTTTCGATCCATGCTTCTCAACGAGTTTATAGAGCGGAGGGAAATCAAAGCAGCCAAGCGTTAAGATATTCCTCAATTTTATGATCACATTCCTGATACAAGCCATAAAATGTGCAAGTGCACATGCAAGGGTTTGGCATATAAAAAGCCTTTATAATGGCAATAACTAAATATGACCAAATGTCAGAAGTAGAGATTGCGTCGCTCACGTCATAAGCCCGATTACACCAACTGGATAGACGTGGCTCCATGATGATGTTTACGTTGCTGAAGCATCCACAAATGGTTGGTCACTGAGGACTGGAGAGATAACACAGTCCAAATACGGCTTCATGGATGAGTGAAGTAAATTAGGAGAGCAGGCAGAGGAGAAAAACAGGATGGAAGGCTCCCAGGTGAAAAGGTGAGACGGGGAGACAGGATGCTAATGACTAACGGGAGGGTGGAGGGTGATGGGGTCATCGCTGACAGCCCATCTGTTGTTGTGAACCTGCAGTCTAATTGACTGAGTCCAAACTCTGACTTCTTGTTTTCACAGTTTATCTCTGAATAACAGCAAGCAGCTCAGGAGAGCAAACATGATTAACCTCAATGCATCAACATAAAGCGGATTATCATCTGCATACAAGGAGATTGTGTCTCCCTTTCTTTGCTTAGTCTACATCAGGTTTGTTATTATCATCTACTGTTTTTAATGGACGATTAAGGTGAACGAGGCTCTCTGTTAGTTTCCATTTGAAATGTGAATGTCATATTATTTGTATAAAAAAGAATCAGTGTTGAGTTCTCTGAATTAATCCAATGCATTAACACATTAAGGTTGACAGCCCAAATTATTTCATGTGTTTCAGCTAAGCCTCCATACCATCTCTCTTTGTTTTCCTCCAAGAAAGTTATAACACACTTGTAGCTTGCAGGATGCACATACTTAAGGAAGAATGTGTGACATGGTCCACATAAATAAATCATAAATCCTGTCTGTCCTGTGTAAATGTGTCTCTGAGTCATGAGTGTCTACAATGAGGGAGAAGCTCGAGTCCCGCTGGCTGTGTTGTTGTAAGAGCCGTGTTTACATGGACGGGACGGCCGGCTCCTCCCCTTGTGTATAAAAGCTGTTTTAGTCAAGGACTAGAGAGAAGAAGAAGAACATACTCATGTATTATTTGGATGTCATGTAGGTACCTTTAGATCGTGGTCGTTCTGTGTCAATTTACATGCAATGTGAAGCTACGAGCTCGCTAAAGAGCGCTAACATTAGCATGCTAACACAACAATGCAGGATACAGGTGATTGCAGCTCGAGCAAAGGACAATTTTGTCCTTCACTTGCGCTTCATGGTGTTTAATTATAGTGCGTTTCAATGTATAACCACTTCTTGCGAACGTGAGTGGAGAGGGGTTGGAGGTGTGGCCTCTGGAGGAGAGCGGAGGCTTCTTTATGGAGGAGGTGTGGCCAAACAGTTTGTTTTGGTTTAATGCTGGTGCTCAAGGCCAACATCTACTTCCTTTAATAACTTTCCTTTGACCTCAGTAGCTCAGGAAACAGCCTTAAAAACAATTTCTATATGTAAAGGGACAATTTACAATATTAAACATAAATGGTGCCCTTTGATGCATTGTACCAAAGTTAGCTTAGAGCTAGTTTATATCTGCATGTTTCATGGGCATCTTTACAGACTGAATTTCCTTTATTCATCCTTCACTCAAATCCACTAAAGTGATGGCTATATCTAGAGAGTATTTTGGGCCGTAGTGTGGATTGTTTTGGATTGACTCAGATTAAACTACAGTGCCTGTGCATGGTAATAATATAACATGTCATCCAGTGTGGATTTGTGGCTGGGTAATGTGATTCAGTTAGGTTTTGGGTTGCATTGGAGCTCAGGGGAAAGAGAAAAATTAGATATTGGTGAAACGTGCAGTAATTGCCAGGATCTCTCCATTGTTGGTTTTTGTGCTTTAATGGGAGTTGTAGTAAAATATACAACATAATGATTTAGTGTGTTTTCCAAGTGTCCTGTGCATGTTTAGACACATCTATGTGCAAAAATTCAAAGTCCGCAGAAACGCGGCTTCTCCTACCCCTCCTGTTAGCTGTAGCATTAGCTGCACGTAACGCTCGGTTCATTGTCAGTGTGAGATCACTGATCTAAGCCATTGGCTCGTTGTGGCCCAGCAGCTCATGTTGAAATTTCCGAGACGCGTGCTGAGCAACTGACCAATAACGACAGAGCGGATCGGCAGACCGATCAGAGCAGACTTGGCCCACGTGGGGTCTAACAGTGTGGGCTCAACAGAGTGTAGCTGACGGACTCAGAGCGGAGAGGGAGCAAGGAGGAGCAGACATGAAAACAGACACTTTTTTCAGACTTTATCTATTGTGAACGTACAAAAGTAGGAACATAGATTAAATATATGAACCCCAAAAAGGACAGAATATGGGCTCTTTAAGTTCCCATGAGATATTTTCCAAATGACAACAATGTGTACATTTTTCTCTCTCTACATGTTTTTTTCAGGTGAAGCACCAAGGTCATGATCAACTGGCCCAATGTGACAGCGTCCAGCGACCAGGAGCTGGGCCAGAAACCAGAGGAGCTGCAGAAGTCCCAATGTGTCCTGGGCTTCATCCCTGTCATCTACTACAGCGTGCTGCTCTGTGTGGGAGTACCAGGTACACTGCGATGATGTCACAAAGTGAAAACATGTACAGGGATTGGGTTTTACCATTGCAATTAGTGGTAAAGTGAGGTTGAACTGCACGAGGAACTCAACATCTCTGAACAGAAACAATATCCTGCATCTTAGTAATACTCAGTAACTCAGTTGAAGTGATATTTTAGGGTCAGAATATTAACCGATGCGCTCACATGATTTCATTTGTATTATTTGCACCGAACCACAGTCGGTGTGTAATGTGAAGACAGTTTGATTTACAGCATTGATATCTATTTATAACAAGCGGGAACTGCACAAGAAGAAATCAATGTGAAGTGAGTTAGAGGCACATTACGGTGCTCTAATGGACTTGTGAGATGGAGTATGTAGTTGAAGCTCACGCATGTGTGATGGCTCCTTTCACAGGTTAAATAATCTCTTCATTTTATGATCACTTTGTTTGACTCGTTGAGTATTTATTCATTTATAGATCTGCTGCAACCAATTGCTACCGAATCCTTCTCCAAGTCCTCAGTTATTCAGCCGACTGTCACTTAGATTCCCATTATTGTGTGTTTGTCTTTGAGTCGATGCATGGCGGTGGTTTGGTATTGATCCAACGGGGATTTAGAGTGAGAGGTGTTCAATGATGCACCAGAGCATTCAGATGCATCTTTTAATTATCCCGAAGGGAAATAAACCAAAAGGCCGGAGAGCCTCTGTAAACATCTGTACTGTCTGCATGAGCAAGTCTTAATAAGATCGGTTGTTTTAGAAGATATATTGTGTTATGATGATGAGCTGCAGGGAACAAATAAAATCAATGGTTTGTAACTTAAACTGCAATGACTGCATTTTTGCTCCCACAATTGCACCACAACCTTGAAAAGGTAGAATTGCATAACCCAGTCTGCTGACCACGGCGAAAAGAGACAAGAAACCGAGCTCTGAAATCATCGTTGTCTCAAAAGAACTTCTCATGCTAAACAAATGTATTATTAGCTTAAAGCTACTATGAGGCGCTTTAAGCCGGTTATGAAACAAACTGAAATCAATACTGATTTCTCCTTATTTCATAAAAAAGTAAAATAGACTATCGGTCACAAGATTGATTATTTCTCTAAAGTAATTCTTAATGCCTGAAACTGCTGCAGGGGGAGGAGTCAGACGAAGTGGTTAGCTGCATGCTGCTGAAAAAAACATTTTTTTTTTCATGGCAAAGACGCTTTGATGATTGAAATACTTGACAAAAAGTAAAAAAGTAAACAGGATGACATTTTGTTATAAAACCATACGTACAGACATACAGGCCAAAATAAGCAAAGGGAGAAGACTTACTGCTTTGTCCACAGGGGGCGCCAAAATCATACAAACCTAAAGTTCCTCACAGGAGCTTTAAAGGCTTTATATGCGATTTGTTTTTGATCCAGCAGATGTCACCCTTGAGCACCAGCATGAAACCAAAACAACTTGCGCTGCATTGTTGTGTTAGCACGCTAATGCTAGCGATCTTTATTATGCTGGTATCTTCACACTGCATGTAAATTTACCTGAAATGAGCGTGATCTAGAAACACAGTTAAGCAGTGAGTACAGTATGTTATTCTTCTTTTCTCTAGTCCCTCAATTAAACAACTTTTATACACGAGGGGAGGAGTCAGCCGGCCGTCCTGGCGATGTAAACAAACTGAAGATAGGACTCTGAAAACTCTGAAAACATCACAGACAGTGGGACTCGGGTGTTACACCCATTGTAGACAGTCATGAATCACAGAGTTATTTTCAGAGGATATACTTGATTTATATTATATTTAAGTGTAAAAAATCACATATTAAGACTTTAAAGAACAGAGAATAAAACACAAATGCAAATATCACCTTATGTGGTGTACACACTGCGAGGTTATCAAGCCACTTTTGGGCCCGATTCCACCTTTCACACAAAAAGAGTCAAAGTCCCGCTTTTTGGTGGTTCTAAAGGTTTTTCCTGTCTGATTTTCCTGTGGTGCACGGTGTGTGAAGAGTGATTTTACCTCCCCCGCCCGATCTGCTTGGAAGAATGTTGTGGCCGCCCTGAATTGTTAATATCGAACATGCTGAGTATTTACAATCCAATATCCTGTTGTGTGCTTGGAACCCTTTGGGGAAATCATTGGGATAGCCGAGGTCACACTCTGTGGTTCAGTTATTACAGTACAGGTTAAAGCGCTCGCTCTTACATATACAGCCCATGTTCATACTTCATCCAGAGTTTTTTGTTTCATTTTTTAGTCCAAAAATGTATCATCAACCCATCCTATTGTCGGCCATGTTTGTTTACACACTGAATGATAACTGGGCCCATTTTGAGCATGAATCCCTCCTTCCACGTTTTCAGCCAATAATCTTTTTTTTTTCCATCTGAACTAATTTCCTTCTGTTCGTTTCTTCTTCTCTCCGTCTTTGTCGTCTCCATCAGTGAACATCCTCACGGCGGTGGCGTTATCCAGACTGGCGTGCCGCACAAAGAAAGCTCTGTACTACTACCTCCTGGCGGTGACGGGCTCCGACATCCTCTCTCAGCTCTTCATCATCTTCGTCGGCTTCCTGCTGGAGACGGCCGTGTTCCACCGCGAGGTCCCTTCACTCCTGCTGCACTCTGTCAGCGCCGCCGAGTTCGCCGCCAACCACGCCTCCATCTGGTCCACCGTGCCCCTCACTGTGGACCGCTACGTGGCGCTGTGCCACCCGCTGCTCCACCGCCAGATCAGCTACCCGGCCCGGGCCCGGAAGATCATCGCGATGGTGCTGGCGTTGTCGCTCGTGTCGGGCGTGCCGTTCTTCTGGTGGTCGGACATGTGGAGGAACAGCCACCCGCCCACGGCGCTGGACACCGTGCTCATATGGACGCACGTGACCATCATCTACTTCCTGCCCTGCAGCATCTTCCTGGTGCTGAACTCTCTGATCATCCACACGCTGAGGGTGAGGCAGAGGCAGCAGCGTTGCGAGGAGGAGTGCGGGCCGAAGTCCGCCCCTCCTCGGAGACTCGGGAAGACGACCGCCATGCTGCTCGCCATCACCTCCGTGTTCTCCGTGCTGTGGGCGCCGAGGACCGTGGTGGTCATCTACCACCTGTACGTCTCTTCGGTGCACAGCGACTGGCGCGTCCACCTGGCCTACGACCTGTCCAACATGCTCGCCATGCTCAACACGGCCGTGAACTTCTTCCTCTACTGCTTCGTCAGCAAGCCGTTCCGAGGCGCCGTGCGGGACGTCGTGCTGCTCCGCGGGGGTCCGCTGCATCCGCATCGGGCTCTGCCGCAACAACACGCCCCCACCAACGCCTCCATGTCCTCTCTGGACAGCGGGAACAACAAGCGCTCGCAGCGGGACTCCACCCCCTTGTCGCCTCGCAGGGCCCGAAAGCCCTCGTGACCCCGGAGGCGAGCCCCCTTCCTCTTAATCAAAAACACCCGGCGTCCCACGGCCCCTGAGCATTTCTGACCCCGGAGACGCACAGTGTGGACATCTGCCAGTCGGCCCCTGGAGCTCCCTCAAAGGGCCTCAAGTGAACTTTAAAGACTTTTTTTATATCGTCATGTGTCACTGGATGTTCTCGGTTGGTGTAAATCAGATGAATTAGAGCGTATTTATTTTTCCTGGAATGATTTGTAAAAAGAAAAGTAGTTTTTTTTTATATGTTTTTTCTTTTCCATACATGGTAAGAATGTCAGTAAAAACGTTTTTATAGATTTACGAGCATTGAGATTTATTCAGCAGTCAGATCCACAGGGAGATCCTCAAAGGAGAGTGAATATTGAAAAACATCACCCTGAACTTATGTTCTTTTTTTTTCTTCGTCTGCTTCAAACTTCTGCTCACTTACATCACCAAACATGTTCAGTGAATTTGCTGTAATAGTTGTTTCGGTGGCATGAGGGCTGAATGAATTTACCTGAAATGAACGGCAAATAACGGGGACGTGTTTCCTCACACCTGTCAATATTTTTCACTTCAGAAGAGGATGCTGGAGTGGGGCTGTAAATAAACAAGCTTGCATGTTTTTCTTGTAACTATCCAGTTGGGTTGCTACAAAATGTAAAACCATCTGAAGTTATTTGAAGATTAATTTTCTATTTAATTGTAAAAGAAAAGGAGGGCTTAGTCCTGCTATCCCATCACCAGCCACCTGTTTCTCTGTTATTTATCTTCCAGTTTGAAAACACTTGATGGTGACTTTTTCCACCCTTTCTATCCCCACTGATGATGATTTGGCAACATGTGATCTTTCTAAGCTTGATTCTTTAGGGACTCAAAACAAAGATTTATGTGGAAATTCCCGTATTTGAAGTACTTAGCAAGTTGCAAAAATACATTTATTGGCAATTAAATCCACTGCAAGTTAAAAAGTTTGCACAAGTTTAAACTCTGAAATGTTTATGGAAAGGGTTAAAAGCTTTATTTGTGATTTTTGGATCCAGCAGATGTCGCCCTTGAGCACCAGCATGAAACCAAAACAACTCGCGCTGCATTGTTGTGTTAGCATGCTAATGCTAGCAATCTTTATTATGCTGGTATCTTCACACTGCATGTAAATTTACCTGAAATGAGCGTGATCTAGAAACACAGTTAAGCAGTGAGTACAGTATGTTATTCTTCTTTTCTCTAGTCCCTCAATTAAACAACTTTTATACGCGAGGGGAGGAGTCAGCCGGCCGTCCTGGCGATGTAAACAAACTGAAGATAGGACTCTGAAAACTCTGAAAACATCACAGACAGTGGGACTCGGGCGTTACACCCATTGTAGACAGTCATGACTCAGAGTTATTTTCAGAGGATAGACTTGATTTCTAAATTTAAGTGTGAAAAATCACATAGAAAGACTTTAAATATTTAAAGTATTTATTCTCAGCGTAAAGCACTTCAATAAGCCCATTGAAAACAGCCAGAATAGTTGATTTGAAATCCACAAATAGCCAATCATATATTTGGATTTTGGGGTGGCTCCTGGGGGTGGCCTTTCAGATTTTATAGGGGGCCCCTGCCACCCTTAGTCGCCCCTCTGGACACGCCCCTGGCCATGGTTTTGTTCACAGAGGAGAATAAAGAAGGAGAATCGATGTTTTGTATGCTGCTACACTAAAGGTGGAATCCCCAAATCCACACTTTGTCTCTTTAATCCTGTCGAGAGACACTTAGTTTGCTTCAGTCTCTTTAATTGCTCCGCTCTGAAAGTCGCTCTGGGAGCAGCAGAGAGGCTGAAATAAGAGTTTGAATCTAAAGTGACTGCTGTCTCTGCTGCTGTGTAAAGATGCTGAATGCCCAAAAGACAATCCGCTGTGCTGAGCGCAGCCAATCGAGCAAAAAAATCGCACTCCGTCTGCACAGCGCTCTCCCAGGCACAGAAACCACAGCTGCTAAGCCGAGTGTTTATTTTTCATGAAATGCAACTCGATGGAGCCTAAAATGAAAGCTTGCTGTTGGAGCGGCGGGAGTGAAGACCCCGCTCTCCAAACAGCCCCTCTGCTACGTCACCAACACGACCTCAGCTCTGACTAAACAAACCACAGATTAGCCTGATGGTGTACACACACACACACACACACACACACACACACACACACACACACACACACACACACACACACACACACAGATGTCAGCTGGTACATTTCCATCTTCTACAAAAGCACTTTTCATGTTATGTCAAAACAATCAGACGGAAACTTTTTTAGATTTCAGTTGATCCTGTCAAACAGCCTGTGAAGTGTTTCTAAAAGTTGTGTGAATAGATGTTATAGAGGTGAATCATTTGACTGATTACCTGATGTCAATTGAGTGTTTTTTAACTTTTCATTGCAAGACAATATAAGAAAACACTTAGAAGACACCTGCAAGACAACAAATTACAAAACAACACGGGTCAGACAGTTATGAGTAGGTTGATTAATAAACTCATTTTGAAACAAATCAGTGTCAGTGCATTCTGTATGTGATGTGTTGGAGGATGCTGGAGTGTGCGTGTGTGTGTACAAGAGGGTCATTTCTGACCGCGAAGGAAATGAGGAGAAATGGTAAATGGACTTGAGCTCGTATAAAGCTCTTTTACTCCGCAGGTCACACCTACACATTCACACACTGATGGTAGAGGCTGCTGAGTAAAGAGTCCATCATTATTAACTAATCACATTCATACACCTGATGAAGCAGTGGGAGCAACTTGGGGTAAAGTGTCTTGCCCAAAGACACATCGCTAGTTCAACTATTTTTCACTAATTCTATGAATATTGAGACGTAGATCTACAAAAACAAAATAAAGAATCATATTTATTTGATTTTCTTGCCTATGACATAAGACGCTCCTCTTATGTCCGTACAGTCTTTTTTTTTCTGCAGCTGAGCCAGCAGGAAGTTAACGTAGCTGAGTCAAAGCAGTGGGAATCAGATCTGTTCTGCTTCCCAGGCTCACTGACTCACACTCACGGTTGAACTTAAAATTTTCATTTTTACACCAATTTGTAGGGACGAATGTGAAACATGTTCTTTGCTGCAATGCAAACCGCAAAATCAAGTTATCCCCCCGGTGCAGCTCGAGTGAGCAGTGATATTATATGGTATGTTTGTATTTATATTTAAAGAAGAATGACAGCAGCCTGTTGAAACACATCCCATTAGATCTGAACTTAAGTCCTGCTTCTGACGAGGCAAAAAGACTCATAGTTTTGTTTTTTTTGGGTCCACACGCCCCTTTGGACACGCCCCTGCCCCAAGCTGAAGATCCAAAAGACAACTGCTGCTTTATATTTACATTAAAGTAATTTACAAAGAACCTTAAAGGAAGAATGTGTGACTTTTTGATCCAGTAGATGTCGCCCTTGAGCACCAGCATTAAACCAAAACAAACTGCTGTTAGGCCACGCCTCCTTCATCCTGAAGCCTCCGCTCTCCTCCAGAGACACACCTCCAACCCCTCTCTACTCACGATTACATGAAGGAGTTATCAATTAGAACGCATCATAATTAAGCACCATTAAGCGCAACCGCGGTCTAAACTGTTATTGCCTTGAGCTGCATTGTTGTGTTAGCATGCTAATGTTAGCGCTCTTTAGTTAGCTCGTAGCTCGTAGCTTAGCATTTCATGTAAACTGACACAGAATGAGCGTGATCTAAAAACTCTTACTAACATCCAAATAATCAGTGAGTATGTTCTTCTTCTCTCTAGTTCTGGACTAAAACAGCTTTTATACACAAGGGGAGGAGCCGGCCGTCCCGTCCATGTAAACACGGCTCTGACAACAACACAGCCAGCGAGACTCGAGCTTCTCCCTCATTGTAGACAGTCAGGACTCAGAGACACATTTACACAGGACAGACTTTATGATTTATTTATGTGGAACATGTCGATCGTTCTCAACAATGCGCCCCAAAGTACAAAACCTCTTCCTCTCAGAGCTCACACACTTCCTCTGTCTTCTCCCTTGACCACCCATTCAGGTTTTGAAGTTTCCGATGTGAGCCACCTGCGAGCGCTCGTCTCTCTGCGGGGGGTCTTTTGTGTTTACTGTAACAGTACGACGCAGCATCTGTTCCCCCGTGTGTCCCCGCGTCAGCCCGCTCATGTCGCCCTGCGCTCGTCCCACACTGAGTTCTGAGAGACGCGGAGACAAAACTGTTCTTTGAAGATGTCTCCCGCTGCCGTGCAATAACAGAGGGGGGCTGTGTGTGTGTGTGTGTGTGTGTGTGTGTGTGGGGGGGGTTGTGTAGTGGTTAGACGGCGGGGGTCAAGGAGATGACTGTATAAACAGTTAAGACGGTAATGTGATGCTAAGATGTAAAAGCAGGCTTGAAGTTTAATGAAGCTTTCACACATTTAAAGAGCCAGTATGGGGAAGGGGGGGGGCATTACAGAGCAGGTAAACCCCTCCAGCCACACGTCCTCTGAGCCTGTTCAAACACATGGTTATGTCTGCAGACTCTGCTGGTGTCAAGAGAGCAAAACGATCAGCCAATGAGAAGACAGAGCGGCGAGTAGCGTCCTATCAGGTGAGAGTGTCCAAACACAGGAAGGAAGGAGCAGAGAACGCACGACCACATGGAGGATTCAAAACCAAAGTTGTGTAAATGTTGGACACTTGAATCCTTTAAGATGACTCTACTTTCTGTTCTTTTGATTATTGAATCTTTGAAAAGGAACAAAACATTTATTTTTTTTCACTAAAACGTTGCTGATGTATTTGTGATATTTGTGTGTGCAGGTGTTTGCTTACAATTTGTGATGAATGATAATATTAGTGCCACAGATACTGATAGTGAAACAGATATTGTTAGCTTTTTTAAAGGTACAGTCTGTAGCATTTTCAGCTTCCAATCCCTGAACTGTATCCACTCCTAAACTCACCTGCTGCGCTGTCATTGGCTGGAGGAAACACACCAGCTCCGCCCAGAAACGTCCCGAGAACCAACCAGAACAAAGCAGAACATGACTTGGAGGTAACGGAGAAGAAACAGCTAGAGCCCAAGACTATGATGACACTTTCTGACATATTTTAGAAGAAGAGAGAATGAAGCAGCTTCATAACGTGCACGGAGATCGAACTGGTCGTGTGCAAGTCGGAGGATATGAACATCATCAAACCCCCCTCATGCTGGCTGTGAATTTACCCAAATATTTCCTGCTGTGTTCACACAGCTCACCCCGACTTCATGTGGAATATTCACTATAGAGAACAAACCATATGACGTGTTTCTGTAGACCAGCCCTGAAGTATCATCTCCATGGGGTCTAACCAGAATCCTCCTCTGGGATGTTTTCATTGGATTTTGGATCATTGCAGAAAATAATCTCTGTGTTAAACACACGTTTCTGAAGCGTAGGCGTTTTGTTCAGCAGGATAATCTTCACAGATGAACGCCATTTTTATGATGTTTGAAGCGTTAATGAGGCCGACAGAAGTAAAAAGCTAACGTTATGCTAAAGCTAACTACACCACGGTGGGATGATTGTGTCATCACTAGCGTTATGCTTCAGACGATCTCCCATA